CCTCTCGGTTTGGAAACCTTAAAAATCACGGACTTCCAGCTGCACGCGTCCACGGTGAAGCGCTATGGCCTGGGAGCCCACCGCGGGAGGCTCAACATCCAGGTACAGGCCCCGCCTGTGGACCGCGATGGGGGTCAGGATGGCCGAGGCAACGGCTCGCTGAGCCTGGGGCAGGCACCACGTGTGGCATTTCCGAGGCCTTGGCCCCAGTTTCCACAGCCACGAAAGCATCGCTGAGTCACCCCCGCTGGGCAGAGGGCACAGAGGAGTTGCGCCTTCTGCAGGCACTGCCCTTGTGAGGGTGGTGCTGCCGGGGCCCGGCCCCAGGTGGCTGCACCTCCGCCTGGGGCCCTTCCCCTCTGCAGGCCTGGAGAGGGCGGGAGGAGAGCACAGACACGGGGTGGGGCTGAGAGCCTGGTGGGGATGGGGGACACGGAGGTGGTCCCCACTTGCCTGCCCGCCCCTTGCTTTGCGTCTCTGCCACACACACCTCTTCCAGGCTCCCTCTGCTGTGTCCCCCAGGACGCACGCATCCTGTCTGGCCTCAGGGCCCTTGCTTCTCCCAAGTCTCCCTCTCCATCATCCGAAGTCCAGGTCTTGCTCCAGGAGGGGGAGCTCCTCCCACGCCCTCTGCACACCAGCCGGGTCCTTTCTGACGAGGGTGCAGCTGCCTGGGACTCCTCTCTCCCCTCTGTGCCCAGGTGGCATGAACCCTGGCTGCCGAGCCATGGCCTGAGTCCCTGTTGCTGCTGTAACAACTGAGCATCACTTGGCTCCTACGCAGCACACACTTATGCAGGGAAAGACATCTCAGGTCCACGTAGAGGTGTGGCCGGGCCACGTCCCTGCCTGGAGGCTCTGCGGGTCGCCCACTCCCTGCCCATGGCTCTTTCCTTCTTGGCCGCCACAGCGGGTTGAGGTCTCATGGCACTATCTCTTTCAATGGCGTCTTCAGGACCTGTGATGACTTGGGGCAGAGCTGGAAAGCCCAGCCCCCCCGCCCCCCAAGGCAGCCTTCATTCCTCTGGGCCACGTGGCCTCGTGCTGCACAGGTCCCAGGACTGGGGCGCAGACCCCTTCAGCGTGGCTGTGATCCTGCAGCCCCAGCTCCGTCCGATGCCTTTCCCTCCCACGCCGGCGTCTGCCCGTTCGGTCCTCCTCCGCCCAGCATTCCGTGCGTCCTGTGCTAGCTGCTCTTCCAGTAGTGCTGTGTTTCTCTGGTCTTTCCCCAGCTGCTCCGGCCCTCGTGGCTTCCCCACCCTTTCCACACGTGTGGTGTCTCTAGCGAGCATGCTAGCAGGGCTGTACTCAAGGGGCGAGCATGCTAGCAGGGCTGTGCTCAAGGGGAATGGCTCATTTTTTATTGATTTATTTAAGAGGCAGGGTGACAGGGGGAGAGACAGAGAGAGAGTGCTTCTGTCTGCTGGTTCACTCCCCAAATGCTGCAACAGCCAGGGCTGGACTAGGGCAAAGCCAGGAGCCTGGAAAGTCACCTGGGTCTCCCAAAGGAGTGACAGGGAGCCAAGTGCTTGAGTCGTTGTCTGCTGCCCTCCCAGACGCCTTAGCAGGAAGTGGAGGAGCTGGAGCCTTTGCTATGAAATGGGATGTGGGCTTGGTCTGCCGTGCCACAACCCAGCCGAACGGGAGCAGCTTCCGAGTGGCAGGGTGGACCCCTCACTCCCCCCAGGGGTCACTGTAACGCACCAGGGGCAGCTGCTGTGCCGAGAACTGGGCAAGAGCGGCTGAGGTTGCTGCCCGGGGAGTACATGGGTTGGGGGCCCCTGGCTGAGCCCTGACCCCGAGCTCCTGCTCCTTGCCCCCCCCCCCCGGCTTGACCGCGTCAGGAGGACCTCAGACCACCCAGGCTGCGCCCCCTGCTCTTTCAGAGGCGCTCAGGCCGCGCACTGCCAGAACCAACTTCGGTGAAAGCGCTGGCGGTTTAGAAATAGTGTTTTTCTTTCTAAAAATAAAAGCTGTTAAGGATGTGAGCAAGTAGAACCTGCAAAAAACAACTGCCCATGATGCTTAAAAAAGATCGATTTATATGAGAGGCAGAGAGAGAGAGAGAGAGAGAGAGAGAGAGAGAGAGATATCAAGAGAGAGAGAGAGATATCAAGAGAGATCTTCATCTTCCATCCACTGGTTTAGTCCCCAAATGTCTGTAATGGCCAGGGCTGTGCCAGGCCGAAGCTGGGAGCCAGGAGCCTTATCCAGGTCTCCCACATAGGTGCAGGGGTTCAAACACTTGGACCATCATCTTCTGCTTTCCCAGGCACATTAGCAGGGGGCAGGATTGGAAGTGGAGCAGCCAGAACTCGAACTGGTGCCCATATGGGATGCCAGCACTGCGGGTGGTGGCTTAACCCACTGTGCCACAGCACCAGCCCTGATTGCCCACCATTTTTAAAAATACTTATTATTTTTTATTTATTTGAAAGGCAGGGTTACTGAGAGAGAGAGGGAGAGACAGAAATCTTCCATCTACTGATTACTCCCCAGATGGCTACAACGGCTGGGGCTGTGTCAGGCCTAAGCCAGCAGCTTCATCTGAGTCTCCCATGTGGGTGCAGGGGCCCAAGCACTTGGGCCATCTTCCGCTGCTTTCCCAGGTGCATTAGCGGGGAACTGGATCAGAAGTGAAGCAGCTGGGTCTCGAACCAGTGCCCATATGGGATGCTGGCATTGGGGGTGGTGGCTTAGCCCACTGTACCACAGCGCCGGCCCTGATTGCCCAGTTCTTCGGCACATCTTGCCTTGGCCTCACACCCAGCAACGTCACTGCCCTCCACCCCTCTTATGATTGAGCAAGATGTGGTCTCCAGACTGTCTTCTATTAACGGTTGATTTGTGCTAATGCTTGATGGATTAGGGTGGAGATCTCCTCTCATTATGGAGCCTTGGAGGCGGGCCCTGTGGGAGGTCTTTGGGTCACTGGGGGCTTGCCCTTGGAAGGTCCTCCTCAAGACAGAGTTGGTCACGTTAGCTGAGTTTGCCCTGGCTTCTCTTGCTCCTGCCTGGCCCACGACTGTTCCTCTGCACCTGCTCTGCCATGGCCAGCGGCCACCAGATGCCAGGATAATGGGGCTGCCTGATCCTGAATTGTGAACCTCTGAACTATAAGCCAAAATAAACCTTTTCCTCCCCAAATGGGCTGATACGATTCCCTTCCCTTGGCTATCATCACTGCTTTCTTTCTTTTCTTTTTCTTTTTTGGTAAGGTCAAACCCTGTAATTACCACGGTGTTTAACATTTTCAGACTCAGCTTTTCCTGGAGAGGATTTGGCAGGTTATAGCAGAAACACCTGCCTCTCTTTACCTCACTGTTGGCAGAGGACTTTGAAAGAACCCTTGTTACTCAACTTACAGGTTGTTTTTTTCCCCCAAGAAGTTTTCTGTGTTAGCTTAATAAGACAAGCTCGGAGAAGCAGCCAGCACTCTGCTCCACAGCACCCCGGGACAAGGTGGATCTCCCCGAACTCAAGGAAGAGCCCAGCGCAGCAGAATGGCCAAGGGTGGTCTCTCACCTGCGATCCTCCTTCCGTGTGCCCGGGGTCCTTCTACCCTCACTCTGGTCCCTCCAGCTCTGAGACAGGGGCAGCCAGGCTGGAAGTTAGTGTTTTGAGTCTCAAAGAGAACGTGTTAGCCATGGCCACTAGACTCAAACTCGGGTCCTCTGCCTGTGGTTAGTCTCAGGGGGTAACCTGTGCCCAGGTGGGCCATCTGACGCCACCCCGAGGGCCCCGAGAGGGGAGGGAGGTTCAGGGATGGCGCTCTTGCCTCAGGGACCTGTCCCTGCTCTGTCACAACACTGACGTTGCCTTAGCTGGAACGCCTGTGGCAGGTCATAGCGGCACTTGCCATTTCAGAGAGGGGGTTCAGCTTTATTTTGAGGCTTGGAAGTTATGGTAGGGGTGGGTGCTTGGCTAGCAGTTAAGACACCATTCGGGAAGTCTGCATCCCATGCTGGAGTGCTTGGGTTCACGTTCCAGCTCCACTCCGATTTTAGCATCCTGCTAACGCACACCCTGGGAAGCAAGGGTGACGGCTCAAGAAGTGGTCGGGTCTCTGCCCCCCACATGGAAGACCTAGGTTGAATTCCTGGCTTCTGGATTCTGCCTGGCCCAGCCTTCGCTGTGTGGGCATTTGGGGAGTGAACCAGCAGACCGAGTGCTCTCTCTGTCTCTTACTCTCTCATTCTGTCTCTCAAATCAATGAAAACTTAAATAAATAAAGCTATGATAAGGAAGGGCCCACCATCTGAGCAGAAGAAATGAAATGCCCACAGCATGCGGCTGAGACTCAGGGTATCACCCGGACTCCTGTCTGTGATCAAGAAGGTAAGAAAGGGGGCCGATGCTGTGGCACAGTGGGTTAACGCCCTGGCCTGAAGCGCCAGCACCCCTTACGGGTGCTGGTTCAAGACCCAGCTGCTCCACTTCTGATCCAGCTCTCTGCTATGGCCTGGGAGGGCAGTAGAAGATGACTCAAGTCTTTGGGCCCCTGTACCCATGTGGGAGACCCGGAGGAAGCTCCTGGCTCCTGGCTTCAGATTGGTGCAGTTCCAGCCATTGCGGCCAATTGGGGAGTGAACCAGAGGATGGAAGACCTCTCTCTCTCTCTCTCTCTCTGCCTCTCCTCTCTCTGTGTAACTCTGACTTTCAAATAAATTAATTAATTAATAAATATTTTTTTAAAAGAATGTAAGCACGTTGGCACTCGGGTCAGAGCTTAGAGAAGGAGCTGATGTTTTGAGGCCACCAGAAAAAGGGCAGTTCTCTGTCACACGCTCTGTGTCTGTGCAACGGCCCGATCACGGAGCTTGACTTTGGGTCCCTGGCTTGTCTCAGGTGTGTCGGGAATGGCTCCGGGTTTGGCCCTTAGCAATGCACCTCTTGCGTTGGGCAATGCCCGGGGATCGTAACAGCACCTGTCCGGGCGCTTCCCCAGCACAGCCACAGTGAGCCTCTCCTTTTTCTCAGTCGTTCCTGTCAAGGAGGTCCAAGGAGCGGCGCTGGGTGCTGATCTGTGGGACCTGGTTGGCTCCTTCAATGGGATCCCCCTTTTGCCCGAAGCGAGGTGTAGGCCAGGCACTGCCTGTGAC